CCCTGAGTAGCGCAACTTAGCTCTTCCACAGCACACTGGCCAAAGTGGTCCCTGAGTAGCGCAACTTAGCTCTTCCACAGCACACTGGCCAAAGTGATCCCTGAGTAGCGCAACTTAGCTCTTCCACAGCACACTGGCCCAAGTGGTCCCTGAGTAGCCAACAGTAGCTCTTCCACAGCACACTCACCAAAGTGGTCCCTGAGTAGCCCAAAGTAGCTCTTCCACAGCACACTGGCCAAAGTGGTCCCTAAGTAGCCCAGCTTAGCTCTTCCACAGCACACTGGCCAAAGTGGCCCCTGAGTAGCGCAACTTAGCTCTTCCACAGCACACTGGCCAAAGTGGCCCCTGAGTAGTGCAACTTAGCTCTTCCACAGCACACTGGCCAAAGTGGTCCCTGAGTAGCCCAAAGTAGCTCTTCCACAGCACACTCACCAAAGTGGTCCCTGTTCACCAAAGTAATCCCTGAGTAGTTCAACGTAGCTCTTTGACAGCACACTCACAAAAGTAATCTCTGACTAGTTCAACTTAACTCTTCCACAGCACGCTCGCCAAAGTGATCCTTGTTCACCAAAGTAACCCCTGAGTAGTTCAACCTAGCACTTCCACAGCACATTCACCAAAATGACCTCTAAGTATTGACACCACATTCACCAATCTGATCCCTGAGTAGCTAAACCTAGCTTTTCCACAGCAAATTCACAAACTGATTTCTAAGTAGCTCATCTTAGCTCTTCCACAGCAACCACAGTTCTTAGTAGCGCAACTTAGCTTCTCCACAGCGCATTTACCAAAGTGATTCCAAGGTAGTTGTAGAGTTGCAATGTACTTATCAAGCCAACAAAAGCTGCGTTTTTCTCACCCGTAGGCCTGTCGGTTGTTAGGTTTTTAGAACTTCGGACTTCAGTACGCCCGGTCGCCCAACTTAGCTCTTCTATAGCACACTCACGAAGTGGTCTCTGAGTAGCCCAACTTAGCTTTTCCACAGCGCACTCACCAAAGTGGTCCCTGAGTAGCTTAGCCTTTCCACAGCACACTCACCAAAGTAGTCCGCGAGTAGCCCAACTTAGATCTTCCACAGCACGTTGACCAAAGTAATCC